ATTTGGCAGAGGGGCGAAATCGCAAGTTGGTGCTACATATATATAAAACATACGTATATATCGTGTTACAATGGTGCAGTGTCGATTGCTGTTTGGTAGCGGGATCTACAAATACTAACTCCTGTGCTTCCAGGTAGGCCAAGTCCAAATCATTATTCCATTGGATGACATGCTTTTATACGATCCAGGCGAGATTACGAATAAAAATCTAGAAAAAATAATTAAAGGATAACTTTCGAAGAAAGAAATTTTCGCATGGACCGTAGAAAAACGTCAGATTAATCGTGAAATCGTATAGGTTGCGGGAACACGTGAATAGAAAAGCAAATATAAAAAATTGTAAGCTTAATATTATAAAAAATAACGAAGCAAATAATAATGAATATATTCGAATATTTTGCACAATATCATCGACCACGAGTCGTGATATGATTACATAGTTGGGCACTTTTCTTACATTTGTATATACATAGAATCTATGGTATTGAATTTTATTTTCGTTTTTTTAAATTTTTTAAAAATTATCTGAAAATCATAAATTAATTAAAAATAATTGCTTGAAAGCAAAACAAATATAAAAGGATTCTTTTATTTTGAATAATTATATTTTCTACAATTTTAAAGTTTCTTTTTCGAAGAAAGAAACTTTCAAATCATTAATGTAATTAAATACAGGTATAATATATTATCGTTCAATATTTTGAAATTATATACATGACTTAATTTTTATCGCATTATTAATAGAAATATTAAATTTTTAAATATTAATATTTTAAATATTTATAGTTGATATAATATTAATAATCGGATAAATTTGATCGAACGTTGATTATCTTTCCTCTTTTCTATCTATAGGAGGCACGATGTTGCCGCCGCCACCAGTCGCAATATTTCCACCTGCGGCTGCAATGCTACCACGTGGACCACCACAATTTGCAGCACATTATCCGCCTCCAATTTTTTATTGGCCTTATCCTTCGCCACCAGTTAGTCCAACTAATTACTATAATCCAGCAAATGTTGGTGGTATTGCGGCGATTCCTCAGCAAGCAGCTTTGGTAAATATTTTAAAACAATATTTTTAAAATTTTTGTACTTTTTATAAAAAAATTAATTTAAAAAATATTTTTGATAATTTCTTATTTCATATAATTGCATTTTCAGTTAACTCCAGCCGAATGTTTGCAATTAGCACCAGGAGCGACTGTACCTACTACAAATACACCAACCGCAGAGCCACGCATTGAAGCTTTTCTTCCACGAATGGATTTAGAAAAACGTGTTCCTGTTCCTGCACCTTCTCAAGCAGAATGCAATCCGTTCGTCGAAGTATTTATGGTTTGATGATCGTTTGATCAAGATTCATATGGCAAATTTATCTTAAATATTCTGCAGCACGTTCGATCATCGGCAGAATTGAGTATATATCTTTCAGCCTCGCACGACAGAAACTGATTTTCTACTACTTGCAAAAAAAAAAAACGTACGTATACTTACGATAAGAAGAGTGTTCTTGTCTAAAATGTCGAGGAAATTTGTGAAACAAGATCTCGAGAAGTATCCAAGAATGATGACAGGATTCATATATTTTTCTTATCTTCGAAAGAAGCCTTTCCCAATTCCCACCCCATAAATGTAACGTGTCTCAGTGTGGCACGTTTCTTTCTAGTCTAGAGGCAGATGCAAGTCGTCGTAGCATAACACAGTGATGTCGTTTCTTTCTTATCGTTTATCTCAGTTCCTCTGGAACAGAATGTGCACAGCACGTTTTCTATTCTCTTGATCCCTTCATTTTTTTCTTTAAAGTTTTGACTTTATTACTCTTTCTTTATATTTCTTTTTCTTTTCATTTCATTCAGTGCTCTATGAGTCAAGATATCAGAGTGCTATATTCCTGGAAATAAAGAATCACGATCGAGCAATATCGTTTGGTTGTGTAGATTTTCAATTATTTTAAATAGGTCTGTAGAAAATGAATGACCACAATGTAGATTCGATATTCAAATTTCGAATAATAAATTTGATGAAAATCATATTAATAAATACTAATTCGCAATGATTTAATGCTTTCACGATTCGGTGATCACATTATTATCAAAATCGAATTATGCGGGTGTTTTTAAAAAAAAAAAACATATTCCAATCCAAATGTTTTACTAACATTGCTAATTTTATTAAGAATTTAATGATTCATTGCTAATAATAATGTATATTTTTTACTGACTTGCTATTTAAAATATAAATGTTTATATATCAATTTTATTATTCTACTAATCAGAGGAATTTTATTTGTTAGATAGCAGTTTCATACTTTATTATTATTTGCGTGACATTAAATAATCCTAATAAAATTAACTATAATGTTGATGAAATGTGTTCGGAATATGTATTTCGATTTTGACAATTCTGTTTGTAACATTGTGGTTTCGTATATCAAATTAAAGTTTTATGTTTGATCACATTGACCATGTTAATCTTTTTCGCTTAACATGATGAAAGTGGTCGAAGATATTAAAAAAAAAAAAACAAAAAAAAAAAAAAAAAAAATTAGCGAAATAGCGTTTTTTTTTTTTAGAATTTTACTTA